TAAAATGTATGACAAAAAAGATTTATATTATGGTCTATATCTTAACTAAGATGATACATAAACAAATAGATGGAAACAGGATTAATATTGCTAGGAAAGTAACTTATGCTTCTGAAATTCTTCTAATTTTCTTCAAAGTGGCATATGTACCCCAAGAAAATGTATGAGAAAACGTAATTAGGTAATTTATGAATATAAACTCTTTACACTTCTAAGTTTTTTTTCTTTTTTGCAGTACCAGAGATCGAATGCAGGACCTTGTGCTTGTCAGGCAGGTGGCGGCTCCACTGAGCTACATTCCCGGCAACACAAAAACTCTTTTAACATAAACAATGAACATTTATAATGAGTCACCTAAGAGCGTGTTGCTTCAGTCTAAGTACTGTAAAATGTAATACAGTACTTACAATGCTGCCTACCCCTTTTATGTAAAAGACAAATAGACAGCTTTTTATTAAATTTTTCTTTGGTAAAGGGAAAATGTACCTGTCAAATATTTATTTATTTATTTTTTTTTTTTGGTATCGGGGAATCGAACTTGGGACCTTGCGCATGCGCGGCAGGTGCTGGAACCACTGAGCTAAATCCCCGGCCCCCCTGTCAAATATTTAAAGTGGCAGATTTTTCAAACGTATTTACTGCACATCATTAGCAAGGGCCCTACTACTTTTCCCCATTTGCTATTACTAAACGGGAACTGGTGATGAGACACTGAAAACATCATGAACGAGGCCACAGAGTGAAGTAATGGTCTGTCCACATGTCCATGGAAGGTAATTCAGTTTCAAAAGCGTCTAAAAAAGAACATTTGTTTAGGTTTGAAGATTTTTATCAGGACACTTTCAGAGATTCCGGTCAATTATTCTCATACCTATCTCATCACACATTGGAACTCTGGCTCTCAAATTAAAGTAATCCCTAATTCTAGACAGTCAACACAAGGCTGAAATTTTTCTAAAATGTCAATGTCCACATTTAAAGGTATATAAAGAGAAAGCAATCATTATGTGCTTACCTCTCCATTGTCCTTTATATCAGCAAAGACCCCAAATTACATTTCAGAGTATAAGTACATTCTTTTCTTTTTTGGGGGGTACCGGGGATCGAACTCGGGAACTTCTGCTTTCGAGGCAGGCGGCAGAACCACTGAGCTAAATCCCTGGCCCATAAGTACATTTTTAATAAGCCAATAAATTTAAGAAACATACACTCGGGCCAGGGATTTAGCTTAGTGATTCCACCGCCTGCCTCGCAAACGCAAGGTCCCAAGTTCAATCCCCGGTACCCCCCCAAAAAATAAACATACACTCATGTTCTTGTATAAATCAAAGATGTACAACTACTTAGATATAATTTTCAAGGTAGTTTTAGTCTCAGGATCGGTATCAGACGTTCAGTATGACAACTTATCTAGAAAATGGACCTATGCCCTTACTTGCTGCTGAAAGTTTTGTCTACTATGGGTTATGAGTATATACAGCATTTCAAATTTTAAAACTATAGTATTACCTTCTCCTTCTTTGATAATATAAATGGACCAACCACTGGGCAATAAAAGGCCATACAATAGCAAAAGTTAATGCAACAGGAGACATCTCAAAGGGCCACCAAGACGGTCTCTGAGAAAATAAATTTACCACAATTATTAAATATTGCATGAATAAACTTAAAA